ACTGGGATATAACGTCAAGAATGATGTACTAATAATTGCCATGTTGGCAGAGTCCAGAGAACAAGGTAGAGGAATATAAAAATTTAGTAATGGAGAAAACCTGGTAACAGGCATAGTATCCGTGAGTGGAAGACGGAGAAGTAGTTGAGCTATAATAACAGTATTCTCCTAGGTGGGATGAAGCTCAGTTGGTCAACTGCTTGCTTAGCAGCTCAAGGCACTGGGCTGCACTCACAGCAATGCATAAAAATCCGGGTATGATAGTGTCTGGTTCCAGCACTCACGAAGCATAGGATCAGAAATTCAAGGTTGTCCTCAGCTACATAGAAAGTTTGAGGCTAGCCTGGGCTATATGAGTCCCTGTCTCAGAACACTAACAAGATAGAATGTTTATCGTGTTTCTTTTTAAGATTTATTATTTATTATATGCCTACATGCATGCATGTTTGTGTACCATGTGGGTACCTATTGGCAGAGAAAGCTAGAAGAGGGCATTGTAGCCCACAGAACCCGTGTTACAGATATTCATGAGCTACCACGTTGGCACTTGGAATCAAATCCAGGTTCCCTGCAAGAGCAAAGTACTTTAACCAGCGGGAACCACTTCTCCAAACCCCAAGAATTTTCGTTGAAATTCTGACTCCTTGGAATGGAACCAGAGAAGCATATCATATCACAGATATTTTCTCTATTGAATCGTTCTTACTCTCCCCTTCACGATCTTTCCATTTGTCTTGATTAGTTTTATGTCATCTTGACGCAAGCTGGAGTCATTTTGGAAGCCGGAATCCCAGGTGAGAGAAATAGCCCCTCATCCCCGAAGGGCTTGTGAGCAAGCCTCTGGGGTGATGTGTTTTCTTGACTGACGATGGATGTGGGAGGGCCCGTGTAGGTGGTCCCACCCCTAGCCTCGTGGACCTGGGTGCTATAAAGAAGCAGGCTGAGAGAGCCATGAGGAGCAAGCCAGGAAGCAACCTTCCTCCATGGCCTCTGCATCAGTTTTTGCCTCAGGTTTCTGCCCTGACCTCCCTGGAGAATGGACAACAAGCTGTATGATGAAATAAGCCCTTCCCTTCCCAGGCTGCTTTTGTTCAGGGTGTATATCTCAACAGCCAAAACTCTTACTAAGATACCGTTCAAAATTCTTTCAGCATATACACAAAGCGTAGAAGTGTTCTGTGACAATGTATGCTTTCTCCTGGAGCACAGCCTATCAGAATCTCCTCCTTACATGTTCTGTTCTCTCCTGTGACAGGTCGTAGAGTGCCTTGATCTTGAATAAGATGCTGAACAGGAAACCCCAGTTTACTCTATGCAAAATAAACACCGAAGAGTGAAATCTTCCTTGAACTCTGCAAAAACTGGGCTGGAGAGATGGCTCAGTGGTTAAGGGCATTTGCTAAGTAAGCACGAGAGACCCGGAATCTCAAGCATCTATCAAAGAACCTAACCGTGTTCACACCCACCTTTAATCTCAGTCCTGTTGAGGACAGAGAAAGAAGGACTGCTGGGGCTTGCCGGCTGTCAGCCTAACTCCAAGCTCTGTGAGAGAATCTGTCCCAAAGAAAGGAAACTGAGAGTGACCGAGCAGGAGACTTTCTTCTCTGGCCCCACCATGCAGGCAGGAGAGTGCCCACCTGGATATGCATGTGTCTATACCTCCTTCCCACACACTCGTATATGAACTCACACACAAAAATAAAACTTATGAGAATTAATTGAGATATTATTCTTAATACCCTTGGAACAGTGCCATGCACAGTAATTGCTTAGCTTATTATGCAGTATTATTAATCATTCATTAGTGATCTAAACAGATGAGATGGAATTTAGAGACAAATAAGAGCAATATAACCCATAAGTAATTTTAATTCTCTGGTGGGAGAATACTATGAAATTCTGACCCCCAAAGCCATTACCAATTCTAGTGAGCAGTACACTTGGACCCCTGAAAAAAAGTCATTTAAACATTATCCCAAAATGCGTTTGCAAATTACTCTTGCCAGAGGCAAGGTTCTTGGTTACAGTATTTTACGATCCACCTCCCCCCCTCCCCCAACTAGACATTACTCTTTAAAGACATAACTGCCAAGGGCTACTGTGAAAAGTCACTAATATAATGCCTTTTATTATATTTGCCAATTTCACACTTTCCCCAACCCAATCTCCAAAGTTTGTGCAAAGAGACTCTACCCACAGTGCTAGTTCCTGGCTTCCTAGAATCTTGTCAGCCTTGAGGACAACTCTTACATCCGTCCTCGTTAGCTTCAGCTGTCAACGTGACACAGCCCAGAGTCATGGGAGGGAGACTGCCCAGATCAGAATGGTCTATTGCCAAGTCTGTGGGGGAAGTTGCTTGTTGATTGATATGGGAGAGCCAACCCTCTGTGGGTGGTGCCATCCCTGAGCAGGTGATCCTGAGTTGTGTAACAAAGCTACAAGAGGGAGAGTGTGCCAGAGACCAAGCGGTAAGCAGCATTCCTCCGTGGTCTTCGTGCCAGCTTCATGCCCTGACTTCCCTCAGTGATAGAATGTGACCCCAAAGTGTAAGCCACATAAATCATTTGCTCCTCAAGTTGTTTCCATTTAGAGCTTTTTTTTCTTTCTTTCTTTCTTTCTTTCTTTCTTTTTTTTATCACAGCAGCGAAAGAAAACTAGAATATCCTTAAAAAGATGGACCCTGAAAGTGAGCCCAGGGAGTGAATGACAGGGAACTAGCCTTTATTTTGTGGGATTTGCTTGATATATTCACTGTGGGTTGCAGCCAGTGCAGGTAACAACAGCCTAGAGGTTAACATAGACTGCTCCAGGGGCAGCAACCGTCAGTTTAGGTAAGCAGTTTTTGAAGGTAGCACTCTGTTCTTTATATGTTTAGATACCACACATCACTGTTCTCAAGGGGAAAAAAAGCACACGATCTGTTCAGAAAGGACGCTTTGTGTTTGAGAAGGCCTTGGGAGACTTAAAAGGGAACTTTTGAACATTTAATTGAACTTCTTTGATTCACAAGATGAGAAAATTAGTCATTTAAAAGTCTTGCCTAAGGTTAAATGGCTTGTTCCCCTGGACAGACATAAAGCCTGCCTTATTCACACTCCACTTCATCTCTCCTTCTGTCGCCTTGTCTCCCACTATCCATATCTACCACTCTGATTTTTATTAAGTCACAATCCCGGGTTCCCAAAACGGGGAAGTTGAAGTGTGATTTAAAAACAAAGTAATGAGAAACCAACCCCTAACTCTGGAAGTGTTAAGAACAAAGAGACCCAGTTGCCAGAACTTAAGATCCCAGCACTTCTGTTTGGGGTGCCACTGTATTCCCCAATCCTACAGTTGTGATGCCCTAATCTCTGTTGAGTGGAAGAAAAAAAAATCCATCCATCCATCTATTTTAGAAACGTTAGTTTTTCTCTTCCACCGCCTCTGACCTTCAGTTCAGTTATATGCAGACTGGGATTCTGAACAGTAGAAATCGTGTACAAAGCATTGTAACACGGTGAGCCTGGCTCATTGTGAGCAATTAATGTCAGTTTGTTTTCTTTTCCTTCATGCCAAGTGTGGGCTGCTAGGGGTGAGGGGTGATTGCCACGGTGTTTATGTGCTTGGACAGAATGCAAAGCGACTAAGAGGTTGCTGAGAGAAGGCTGTCGGTGAGTATAGATCAATTCCAGTGCCCTGAAAAACGCACAGCTATTTTATTCAGAGAGGCTGGTAGCTTTGGTTGATCGATTCTGGGCTGTAGTCAGCTCTTTAATACAACTTTTTATAAGCATCAGTTACATTGCGCTGGAAAACGCGGGGAAGCCACCTCCGCTCCACCCTCCTGCAGCTAAACAGTAAATGAAGCCTGTAGCGATAGGGATTGCGGTTTGTAGTCCAAAGGGTCCTCAGGTTGGGGCTTCCCCGGGCTAATCAGTGCCCCACTCCAGGTTCAAGTACGATCTCTGGCAGCTCCAAAGCGGCTAGCAGGTCCCCATAGGGTCCCCTGCAAGGAGACGAAAGGTGGAGGCCTGGGGACACTCGGGTTCAGGGGCACTCAGGCATGCAGTGCAGTGTTCCTCCACGCAGGCGGGGAAAAGTTTTCAACTCTTGCCTGTTGGCTGTCTCGCTGCGCCTGGACGCAGCCCTGGGCCGCCCTTCTTGCACCCTCGCCCTTCGTCCCTAAGGTGCACCCTCTTTGGGGGCCAAGCTTTGGCACCTCCTCCCGCTGCACGCACTTTTCGCACTGTGCCCGCGCGCGCACAGGCACGCGCAGGGAAAACACCTAGAGGTACTTCAGAGGAGTTAGCCCAGCAAGGGCTTCAGGAGTGCAGATGAGGGACTCCAGGAGCAAGTGTCCGGAGAAAGGTGCCCGGCACGCGTGCGCGCGAGCGAGCGTCCTCCGTGCGTTTGGCGGGATGTCGGGGCAGCTTCCATGCCCTCGAACTTCAACTCCACACCGGCCCGTGACCGACCCCTCCACAAATACCCCACAGCCTCTGGAGACCCCTTCCGCCCCCAAGTGCGCAGGCCCGGCCGCCCCAGCGCGCATGCCCTGGGCTCGTGGAGCGGTGGCCAGCCCCTCAGCCTTTTTGCTTTCTCCACACTCTACAACTAGGGGAGGGGGCGGGTCACGTGATCCAGCCGGGCCTGAGGCGCGCGGGAGGAAGGGGGACGGGAACGCGCACGGGAGACAGAGTGAGGCGCGAGGGGGAGGGGCAGTCCTCGGGAGCGCGCAGCTAGTGGTGCATGAGTGGAAGGGGCGGTCCTCGGGAGCGCGCCCTGGGGGGGGGGTGAGGCGTGAGAGGTTCCCGGGAGTCCGCGAAGGGGAAGGGGCGGCCCTCGGGATCGCGCCGAGTGAGGTGCGAGGGGAGGGGGGTTAGCTCTCGGGAGCGCGTGGAGAGCCAGGAGGGCGGTCCTCGGGAGCGCGCGCAGAGCGAGGCGCGAAGAGGGCGGTCTTCCAGAGCGCTCTAGCTGGAGCGCGCGTGCAGGAGAGAGAGGGGGAGAGAGAGCGAGAGACCGCAAGCGGGCGGGCGCGGGGCTGGGCCGAGGCGGGCGGCGGCGGTGGGCCGGCCGGAGGGGGAGGAGCGGGCGCTGTGTGAGCAAGGCGGGCGGAGGATGAGGCCGTGCCCGGGCTCTGGCTGCAGCCGCCCAGGGACACGCCGTGCACCCTCGGGCTCGGGGCTCTGGCGTCGGCGGCTGTGGCAGCGTTAGCTGCGAGCGAGTGAGCGAGTGAGCGAGCGGCATCTCCCAGCGCTTCTTCCTCAGGCGGGGCGACGCGAAGAAGAGGCAGCGGCGGCGGCGGCACCACACCGGTGTATCTCGGTTTGGAGACTGCTCTTTGCTTTCCTCATTGACTGACTCACCCCCCTCCTTTATAATTTTTTTTTTGGAGGAAGGGTGACCTCTGGAACTGGGGGTTGGGGGGAAACCTACAATTTGTGTGTGTGTGTGCGTGCGTGCATGTGTATGTGAGGAGGGGGTCGGTGGCACGCGCCAGGCTTTGCAATTCTTCTCTTCTTTCATCTTTTTCTCCTCCTCCCCACCTCGAAGACCGAAAAAAAAGGGCAAGGAAAAAATCCCACAACTGCTCTAGCGTCCTCCTCCTTCCCTTCCTCCTTTCCCCCGGCAACCTCTATCTCCGCTCGTGATTGCCTGGTTATGCTCCCCTCTCTGGGGGGTCTCGCCCCTGTCTGCTCGCTCCCCAGCCCTGGCTTCCCTTGGATACATTTCTTAAAAAAAGAATTGGGAGCCCGGGAGTGAGTTTTTCTGCGAGGCGTGTGTGTGAGAGGAGGAGGTGTGGGGTGTTTTCCTGCACGAGGGGGCGGGTGAAGTTCATTGCCACCCACCCCTCACTTCACCGTGACCTTTTCGGACCTCGGGGTTTCTTTCTTTTTTTAAATTGGGGGTAGGGGTCTCTAGAGAAAGCGAGAAGCAAGGCGATTTCGGTGGTGGGGAGAGAGCATGGCCGCGGGGAGGGCTTCCCCAGTCTCTTGATCAAAGCATTCCGCTATTCTGATTTATTGCCTGCTTGGTGAGTTATTTTTTTCCCCCCTTTCCTCTGTAAAGGAGACCTGTGTGTTCAGCCATTACTTTGCTCGGCTCTGTTCGCAGGCATCTCCGACCCTCGGTGCAGAGGGGAGCCCCACACTTCGCCCTCTCGCTTCCCAGTCCCTCCCTCCCCGTCTCCCCGCCCCTTCCCCCTTTTTTTCTTTCTTTTTTCCCCCTGCCCTCCCTTCTTCTTCTTCTTCAGCTTTTTTTTTTTTTTTATTCTCCCAGCCTCCTTCCCCGCGCCCTTCCTCGCGGCTGGAGGGAAAAGCCCGTGCAGGAGGAGGAAGGGCTCGGTGTCAATTTTTTTCTTCTTGGTGTGTGTGTGTGTGTGTGTGTGTGTGTGTGTGTGGCCGCGGCCCGAGCCTGTGGCGCGCGGGTAGGCAAACGGGGAAGATCCCCGGCGCGATTAAAAGAACCATGGATGGCCCGACGCGGGGACATGGACTCCGGAAAAAGCGGAGGTCGCGATCACAGCGAGACCGGGAGAGACGCTCCCGGGCCGGGTTAGGAACCGGTGCGGCGGGCGGTGGAGGAACCGGCCGGACCCGGGCTCCCTCGCTGGCTTCATCGTCGGGCTCCGACAAGGAAGACAATGGAAAGCCCCCATCCTCCGCCCCGTCCCGGCCCAGACCCCCGCGGAGGAAGCGCAGAGAGTCCACCTCAGCCGAAGAGGACATCATTGATGGATTTGCCATGACCAGCTTTGTTACTTTTGAAGCGCTGGAGGTAAGGGGGGACCCCCTTTCCCGTTCACCCCATGGTTTCCTTTTATGCATGACACCCCCCACTCGGCTGCACCCCGGTTTTCTTGCCTCCCCCGCCGCGCTCGAAGCTGTCTGTCTCGGCCGAGGTCTTATTGTTGGGTGTGGGGTTGTGTGTGGGGGAAGCTGGGGGCAGATAGGCAGCAAGGAGGGAATTGCCAAGCGGTGTGCCTGGTCTGGTCTTATACTGGTTTCGTTCTTGTCCAGCTTGCCTTTCCCTTGCGCCCCCTTCTGCACCCCCACCTCCCTCCACAGCAGATGGGTGGAAAGAAAGGGGTTCGGGCATCACAACAATGCGCCCCCCTTCTTCACGGATGGCTCTGCCCCCACTCCTTTCCTCCTCATCTCCCTCCCCAATCATGGCTTCTTGGCTGGTGGAAGTCTCTGCTTGGGTTTGGGGCGCCTGTGGACGGTTCTCTGTGTGCTTTCTCCAGAGCCATATGTTCCCATGCTTGTGTGTGTGTGTGTGTGTGTGCGCGCGCGTGTGTGTGTGTGTGAGGCTGTCTAGTATATGCCTTTTCTGGATGTCCTGGGCACCAGAGGCTGATAGGGTTTTGTGGCTTTTCTGCACCCCCTCCCCTTTTTTGGTGAAGCTGGGTAAGGGGGCGTTTTCTCCTTGTTGGGAGAAAGGAGGGAGGAGGGGAGAAGAGGAAAGGATGGAATATCTTTCTGTATTTTGCATGGGGCTTTCTTGCAGAAAGGGTTAATGACAGTATTATCCGCACACATACATTTATTTGCGTGTGGTGTGTTGCTGTGTGTGTGTGTGTGTGTGTGTGTGTATACATGAGCAATTTAGTTGAAGGACAGAAGAAGGTACACCAGGGAGGACTGGTAGGAAGCAGGAATAAAATCCTAGCTGACTGCTGGAGGGCTTGTCACCAATTGTCCCTCTGCTTTTTTTTTGTATGTGCCCCCCCCCAAGTGATTTGCTTTGTGTATGTGTTTGTGTGTCTTTCTTTATTCCTTAGGCACCTGCAGGCAGCCTTGATTTTTCAAATGCACATTTTCCTGTCTGCTAAGAGGCTCCTGGGGTATGTGTGTTTGTGTATTTGTTGGATGGAAGGAGTGGAGGGAGCCCGTCTAGGGATCACAGAAAACTATCTGTGCCTGGGAAAATCTGCTTTGGTGCTAGGACTGGTCATTGGTTTTTATAAATTTAACTGCTTTCTTTCCCCTCTGTCTCCCTTTCCCCACCCTCAAGACACACAATCACACACAGGAGGTTTTGAGATTCTGCTGGGTTGGTCCAGCACACAACCAAGATAGAAGTTGGTTTCTAGCCTTTCATTGCACCTGACATAATGGTTTGAGGAAACTTTTCCCTTCCCTTTATTTATTTATTTTCGGGCTGTTATTGTGGTATTGTTTCAGAGGGGCCAAAGCAAGCCTTGTTAATGAGAGCTTGGCTCTTGCATGCACTGACTAAAGGTTCAGGATGTTGGTTCTAGAGATGTGTTTGGATTTCAAGTTTGAGTATTTTTAAAAATACGGTGGTCTTCCTGTCAGTGTTGTTCACTTCCATAAAGTGCTTGTGGCTGGGGTGACGGTGGCGAGTAGTGGCCAGTGGCTCCTGGATGGGGAGGAAGGAAGGGACAGGGATGACAGTGGTATTGGTGGTGACCAGAGATTTTGATGCTGGTACATGAGTTAATCGTTGGTTTTAGAGTTGGTCATCTCTGGGCTTCTAAGTGTTGCACGTCACCATTGAGGATGATTATAGCCATGGTTTTTATAACTTTGCAAAGGTGGATGGGTACTGCAGTGTGACCTCTTTCTTGTTTTAAAATGGGAATTGAAACGGCATCATGTATCCTAAGAGAATGCTGCCTGGATTTTGGCACAGCAAGGCTGCCTGTGGTTGCTGAAGGAAAGAACTTGTAAAAGCTGCTTAGAAGTGGTTCTGCTCTCTGGGTAGTTGCCATGCCCTGCTGGGTGGCCCCTCTTAGCCAGCAAGAGGGGGCCCCTGTCTGCTCATCATCATTGTTGAGGGCCAGGTGGAGATGGAAGTAAGTTATGCATTTGTTTTGTGTTTGAAGTAACTGTTGGACTTTATCTTTTGACAGAAAAATATGCCTGTTCCCGTTTTTTTAAGCTTTAAAATATTTAAAGGAGACCAAGTTCAAAATGTACCTTGAATACCATTTCTTTCTGTGCTGCAATTGACGTCTCAACTACTTCACTAGACATAAAACCTAGGTTAATTTGGTTAGCCGAATGCTATGATACTCTCACGTTTACCATAAAATCACATACGTAGTGGTGCTTTGGTATAAAGGGTCTAACTTTTAAAAAATATACATTAAATTCCTATGAGAAAGTAGACAGGACAGTAGAACTCCAGTGCATTCAACACCCCGGTTCAACAACTGGCATTTCACATCTGCTGCTTCTGTAGTTCACTGAGCTCCCTCTCACCTTGCAGACCTGCTGTGATGGCACCTGTGAATAATTCTGTATGAAGCTCTGGCGTATAAATGATTCAGATGGCTTAAGAAATCCCCACAGCACCATTGTCTCTCTTCAGTCAATTAACAGTTCTCTAGTATTATATATTCTGGTCGGTCACATTTTCAGAGGCTCAATTCTGTCTTTTTAGAAAACATGTTAATAAACCTATTAAAACCATGCAGTGACAGATAAAAGTCACCATATTTGCCTTTTTGGTGGGGGTTGGGGGTGGGTAAGTGTGTCTTGTGTATTGGCTGTTAGCACTCTGTGTCCACATCGGTCGGTCAGAACCTAAACTCGTCATGACTGCTAGAGTCTCTGATGCCCATTACACTAAACTTGCAAGGTTTCCTGAACTATCACCAAGAAGTGTGAAGGCTTATGAGGGAAGTGGGCAGTTGAACTATGAACTTGGATAGAGATGTGTGCTAGGAGTGTGTAAGTGCTAAGAATGATCACAGATACCAAGAGTAACTCTGAACACATGCTTGTGTTTATAAATGAGAAAAATCTTTGCCATGAATCGTCAAGGTGGCTCTTGGTATGATGTTATGATAAAGAAGCCAGAGATTCTGGCTTGGACGGTCAGGCTTACAATTTAGAACACCAGTTTAGAGCCATTTCAGGCAGGTGGTAGATCACATACTACTTAGGTTGTGCACTGAAACACTGACTCCCAGATTTTGTCCTTAGTAACTTCTTGGTGGCTCGCTCTTTCCTTCCTTCCTTCCTTCCTTCCTTCCTTCCTTCCTCCCTCCCTCCCTCCCTCCCTCCCTCCCCCCCTCCTCCTCCTCCCTCCCTCCCTCCCTCCTTCCTTCCTTCCTTCCTTCCTTCCTTCCATGAAGAAGCTCCTGATAATGGACTATTTGGATATGAATACTTCCAGACCAGCTATGGCTTTACAGACACTAGATGAAAAGTAATAAGCCTAATGGCAGCCTGTAATTTTATGCTTATTCTTTGAAATGGTTAGATTTTTATTTAAGAAGATGGAAGCTCAGAGGACAGCTTGGCATCTCCCACATGTTATAAGCCGCGAAACTGGCTGAGGTAGTTGCATATTCTGCAGGGACACTTGTCTTGAGTAATTGTGCCCTGAAGTTCAAGTGTGTGATTACAAAGAGTCTCATGATAGAAGATAAGAGGGTAGGTGAGGAGGCTAAAGTTGAGCGGTGTGTTCTCATTACACAGTTAAGGAGCAGAAGTACCATTTAGAAACAGTATTGCATGTTTGGGTACTCTTTGGGTGTTAAGATGAGGGCAAATAACCTCTAAATGTGTTTCAGTTTTGGGGGGTGGGCAGGATCTTGCTCTGTATGTAGCACAGGCTGGCTTTGTAGATTCAGTAAAATTTTCCTGCTCCAGCCTCCAGAGTGCTGGGGTTAGAGGCACGTGTTACCCCACTTGGCATTTGTCTCTCTCTCTCTCTCTCTCTCTCTCTCTCTCTCTCTCTCTCTCTCTTTAACAGGGTGGCTTCTAGGAATCAAAGTATAAATGGGAAATGCTGATAGCCTGGTACTGACAGCATGCACTGGTGTATCAGCTATGGTGCTTTTCAGAATTGTGTAGGTTTCTGTTAGGAAGCCATGGGTATCCTGGCTGTAAATTTAACTTTACAAATCAGTTATTTCTCATCCTATACCTCTTTGTAGCTTGGGTGTTTCTTTTGGTACAGCTGACCAGAGGGAAAGAAAGATGACCCTGGTAGACTTAGGCAGACAAGAGCTCTGCTGGTGCTGCAGTGTTCTGAAAAGGGAGGGCTTATTTCTGGTGTGTAGAGGGTCACATCCAGGCTTTCCTCAGACCCTCGCTTCCTGGTTCTGCTTCAGGGCTCACCCAAGTGTCAGTAGTCTTCTAAGTCTGTTAGATGGAATTTGACAGACTTATCTGTTAGGTCTAGTAGGCGCTAGTAACTTATTTTCAAAATTTAATTTATTAAGTTTATCATGTTCTTTGTGCCACTCAGTAGATATTTATGGAGTGCTTAATATGTACAAGGCAGTAGTAGCATGAGTAGCCTACAGTGTTTATAATGTCTTGAAGAAGGATGCAATTTAGCTGATAACTTACATCTGACACTTGCAAAATAATTTTGAAACAGGTACTTGAATAATATTAACTAAAGACTTTTAGAGAGAAGATAGGGAGAAAAGTTGAAGTGTTCAAAAGGTATTGTGTGTGTGCGTGTGTGTGTTGAGGCATGTTCTCATGCACTCTAGGCGGGCTTCAAACTTACTGGGTAGTGGAGAATGACCTTGAACTTCTGATATTCTTGCTTTCACCTTCAGAGTGCTGGGGAAATAGCTTTGTACCTCAACTACTAGTTTGGCTGTGCTGAGAATTGAACCCAGGGCTTTGTGTATACTGTCTACTAATTGAACTCCATTCCCAGTCCTTGAGAAGTCCTCCTGGAAAAGATGAGTCCTAGAAGGGTGTAGTGATTGGTAGATGAGGTAGTAGCAAGGGGAGAGCTTTCTAAAGGATTATTGAAGGCTACACAGGGGAAGACCATTA